GTGCGTTATCAAAAGGTAACTTAAACGAGTGAGAAAGGGATTGGTGTCCCTTGGTGACAGTCGGATAGCAGCCAACTTTTTATTCATACTACTAGCATTCCGAGTAAAGCATAGGGCTTCCTATGCTTTGAAGTTTCAGTAGCGATGAGAAGCTGCTTGTCTGACGTCCAACCCTATCTTTCTCCAGAAGTAGTAAATTAGGTAAGATGAAAAGTGTGTCGCTGCCTGGAAATATAACATAGCCCTACCACTGGACTGATTTTGCGGAATGCAACTTCGTAGTGGTCTAAGGAGTATGAGATACCATCACATCAACCATAATTCTTTAGTTAGTTTTCTTCCCGAGAAGTTTACATTGGACTAGTCGTTAATTATAAATGCAATCTGTTGCATTTCTCATAGGGGTACATTTAAGGAAGTATTTGTCACTATCGACAATTGTCCGTAATGAAATTTAGAACAAAGATGAAATTATTTCTGAATGGGAATTATACCGCGTAAGTTGTAGGATCTACTTTTTTACTTACTTTACTTCGGCTATCTCCTACGGGAGGATGAGCCGGCTTCATGAACGTCTCGAATCATCGCTGCCCAGGCGCGGCAATTTGTAAGAGAGTTCATGAAGTTTCATGGGAATTTGGTACGAGTGATGTCCCCAGCATCGCTCGGCCTTTTGTTTGAGAGTGCAGCTCTAGCCTTTACACAGCCAAGTGTGACCTACAAGGCAGTAGGAGTGGAGTAAGGAGTCCACTATCCATTGGCAGCCGGTGACCGGAGTTCGGTTCATACGCCTTTTTGAATGGGGCCAGACATCCAGGACATCCAACAAGCCCTTTGTCCATACGTCTGCCGGTGAGCTCCAGTGAGCTTCATACGCCAGTCGTTGGAGGTTTGGAATCAGGGTTTAGCCATCTACCCTAGACTGTCATCCAATGGACAGTAAACCCGGTGGAGAGCGCCGGGCATCCGCTTTCGCCCTCTCACTTTGGTGAGAAACACCTCCGCCACGTGAAGGCAGTGAGTAGGACTTCCTCAGGAGAGGCTATGTAAGACGCCCGGTCATATGGGAGCATTTCAAGAGGTGTGCGGAGGGGTGGCCAACTCGCAGCGCAAGGCACCCACCCCCGACCATCCTGAGGCTTTGGATCTACAGAAATTAACGTATGAAGTTACAATACTCTACTAGATTTCAATCTTCCTTAACTGTCGTCTTTCTATGTTGGAATATTATAGGTTGGAATATTAATGACTGTTAGAGATAGACATCACATTAACACAAACACCAACACATCACTTCATTCGATACTATGCAAATCAAAAGACCTAACAGCACAAGAAGACAAAACCAACAAACTATCTAACAAAATAAATCCCATGAGCTGTGACTCCAAGTTCAAGAACATAAACTAGCCAGCCGTCAGAAGAAACGACATGTATGCCTTCATATCAGTGCATATAAACAACTATGGACATCACACTGATTGGGAAAATCTGTAGAAATTTTACAAACAGTGAAAACACCAAAGAAATCCCAGGGGGTAGGTATTCTAGAAAGCCTGGTTGGTACTCAGGTGAATTAACGATCAAAAGACACTAGTTAACAAATAATAAGCCACAAGCCGGAAAAGTCAAACTCAAAGCCAATAAAAACCACCAATATTGATACAAATTTTATATCTCACGAAAAAGGTGGTCGTCATGAGATCATTCAGAGACGAGTTCAAATAAATTCATGCTGCACACATTGACGTTTTCGCTGAAGTGATGATGTCTAGGATGATGAATATAAGCTGCTTTGCAACTAAACCACAGCCCGGTTGCTCAGACAATAATGCAACGCCGTAAAATCATGTATTTGACTTACAAATCCTCTTCGATACCCAGGTATTGACAAAAACATAAAGTCCTCCCCCAGCTGATGCTTGAGTGCCCAGTAAAAACGGAAGGCTTGATATATGTAAGTCTGGCAACCCCACCCCATAAAAGGTAAAAGAAACACCATTGACGTTACTAAGGCTTCAATAGTCTGTCTGTCTGTCTGTTTTCGACATAGAACTTTGCACAAATGTGCGGAAGTTCAAGTCGCCACATTCCGTGTAGCACGCGAAGCAAGAGAAGAAAGTACAAGAAAAGCATAATAGAAACAGTGAGCAGAGGTGTGAGACAAAGGAGTAATAAAGAAACACAAAACAGTTTCATTGAAGATCATAAGTCACAGGGAGTGGATGCATCTGCGCCACTGAGAACGATTTTGAGCCATGTCACCAATTGTTTCCAACCATAGATTTTTACCGTCCCGAGGACCCCAGCCTGGAAGTCTACACCTTTCTACGTGGCTTAGACCAACTGTTGTGGATTTCATTGACTGATGGGGCCAAGTTTTTGTTTGACCGCCGCTAGCTTTTTTCCAGCCTGACTCTATATCCGCTAACATTGCTCGTTGAGGGAGGCGATGGCTTGGCATACGTAACACATGTCCTAACCATCTCAGTCTTTGTAGCTTCACGACTTCGTCGATTGATTTCCCCTGTTTACCTAGAACTCTGCGCCTAACCTCCATGTTGCTCACCTTATTATGCCACTTTACACGGGAAATAGAACGCAGGCTTCAATAGCTCAAGTCTGAAGTATTATTTATTATTATTATTATTTATTTAAACGCATAAAAACTTGGTACAATATGGCACCAAGAAGGATGCGCCACACAATAATAAAACAACATAGATCAAAGGAAAAAAAGGAAGAAGAGAAATATATATATATAAGTAGAGAACGGATAAAGAACTTCATCTGGAAGGAAAACAGTCATGCTTAACAAGTTCAAACAGTATTCGTTAACTATCATCGGAAAGGGAAGAAAGAAGGAAATCGCAACACGTGTAATAGCACGCCATAAGTTTCATTGATTGTTTGTTGCTTCATTCAATTCATTGTGTGAGGGCTGAGATACTGCCCGGGCGCCCACACCGAAGCAGGTGGTTTTATTAAGGGATCACCCTCCGAGCCTTTGACTTGGAGTCTAATCCGCAAGGCAGGTGAGCAGCGTCAGGAGCTGCATTCCCATGGTTTCCGGTGACCCATATGGGTTCATACGCCATTTGATCCGATTGGATACTGGAGCCCATGTACCCCATGGTAACTGCTTTTAGTTTAACCGCTATCCAACAACCTTCCTGACATGGTAGGACCTGCAGGGAAAGAGTCCCAGTCAGTTTAGCATGTTGGATCATTACGGTATTCAAGCCCGACCAAGTCTGAAGTCTTCCATATGTTCTACTAGGAACGCAAGGAATGAAGAGAGAAAATAGTTAGGTAGTAATTACAGTTTTTAAGTTACTCAGAACTCTTTTAGGCGGTATCAAGTTATGAGCCGCAAATATTTATTGTATGAAGACCTACTTGATACCACCTACTCGGTTGCTTAAGCTGATGTAGGTAGTAAGAGATTCGAACCCTCAAACCGTTGGGCTAGCACTAGAATGTGCATAAGTTGATGAGCTGAATCTCCACACCCGATCGATAGCTGCTTCTCTCATACATAGCGGTGGGGTTGGATTTGCCTATCGTGGTGACCGCGTCAACGAGCTACACTAACTGGAATTGATGTTTTTGCATTTCCTCTACCACCACACTAAGGTCGTCTGGATAGCGACTAGACATTTAAAGCAGTTACCAACCATCATAGTGTAATTGCTTTATACGATGCTGGGGATCTGTGGACGAAGCCACACTGTCAGAGAATACGGACGTAACACCAGTAAAGCATTTCGCTCAAATGACCATGATGCCTATAAGCTCTGTAAAGGCGTAGAAAAGGTCGACTCCGAAAATTGGCCCGTAGCCGGCTGAAAGATCTTAATACGGATACAACTTCAAAAGAACCATTTCAAACGGGCCGTGTGTGTAGCTGACGTCAAGTAATTATCCCTCTGGGCTCTGAATCACGTAACACTAGTGCACTCCTGTTTCAGATACCCTCCAAGAAGAAAGCTTCCATGGTGTAGGCAACAGAGAAGAATTAACCGCTTACTCATACTTACATAAGCACACAAGGCTTTCCCCTGATCATTACTCACCTCTGCCTCCACGAAATATTAGAAGAATATCTAACTACCTAATAGTATTTGATATAAATCTGTCATAAGCTACGCTTTCGTTTAAGAGTCAAAATGTACCAGCCACCAACCTGCTTCATCATCGATTGACTTTCCTTTCTTATATTATAGAAATCAAGAGATGCGCCACACGAAATAGTTGTCTCGTAGTTTGTGCGATAGCTGGGATACTTCCTGCTCGGATAAGCAGACCGGAGTGGAATGTGGTTTTCTCAAGAGGTTACCCCCCGCCCTCGGGCTTATGACTTAAAATCTGACCCACAATCCAGTGCAATGGAGCAGAGTCCAAATAGTTGCCAGTGTCCGAAATAGGTTGATATACCATTCTGCAAACCATGCACACTATAGAGTTTCCGGTTCTGCTAGGCTGACTTGTATTTCCTCTACCATTATGATCGCAATTACCAGGAGTTGTTCACATTCGCCCTTTCACAATTTTGTGAGGAATACCCTTGTTGGCTGTGTGAAGGCAGTAAAGAGGACAACTCACGTGAACGCGTGACCCCATGATAGAGGAAGACCAAAGTCTAACCACCACCTTAAGCCGTACCAGGTCATTCTTACACCTAACCTCAATAAATATATTACTCAGCATATTATACACCATCATCTAACACACAAGAGAGATACAAAGCAACCACCCCTGAGATGGTCAAAGACACTCCGCCAAAAAAAACCAAAAAAGACAAAAAACGACTGTAAAAATCAATGATATATTTAATTATATTCATCGATGGGGTGTGAAGGGTATAAAATCAAAATGGGATGAGATATGTTGACAAGTATACGAAATGTCAATGATGATAATGGGTAGTGAGTAATTGTTGATTTCTAAAAAATATGCATGTTTGTTCTCGCAGTGTTTTATATTATTATTATTATTATTTAGAAAACTAATGAAAGCCAGGCAAATATCAGCGTCATACCACCGATAGGCGCTACCCTTGACAAACGATCATCACCGGTTAAGGAGACATAATAACACGAGCCAGAAAAGAGTATCGTTCCAACAATGAATAAAGTAGCTGACTACAATAAAAGGAGAATGATGAGGAAGATTAGGTGAGGGGGTAAAACCGAAATAGGGTAAAAAGAAGACTTACCACTTTAGGATGTTTAAATAGCGGGGCATTTAACAAGGCTACGGAATTCACTAAATGATAATAGGCACCGGTTTTAAAGACTTGTCTTTGCTTCTCATGTTCATTTCCGAAACCTAAAAGGAAGATAAAAATAAGAAGTTAAACGAATTTTATCATTAATATTATTATTAGTATCGTTACTATTACTAACATTCTTTTGCTGCAAACTATGAACATCAAGAAGACGGGAATAAGTTGAGCTTACAAGAAGGCCTGTCCTTCATGTGGATGGTTCATGTCTAATGTGTCACAGAAACTTGAAGATTTGCAGGTGAAAACCAACAAGTAGGCAGAAGAGGCTAGCAGCGAAGACAGGACTTCAAGTGAACATAGAGAACACAGAAGTGATAGGGACTTTTTCAACAGCAAGCAGCGTCGCAGATGAAAATGTCAAAGACAGCCAGGATCGGAAAAGCAAGACAGACCGTCATTAATCTAAACTCCACCTGGAAGTCTCCTGCAGTCACCATGAAGAACAAGATTTAGATTTTCAACACTAATGTGAAGTCCCTCAGTGCTTCTATATGGTTCAGAGACTTGACCCGGACGTAGTGGAAAGCACTTCCAACAGGCAACTGCAAATATTAATTTCCAGCTTACTGCAGAGACTAAAAGATGCTCTCCACGCAAAATTTCACCCGGAACAACTTGGATTCGGGAAAAGCAAACCAAGTTTGGTCATGGATCGATATCACAATTACAAAAGGCTGTTAAAAATCGACAAAAGGAAGTACACTTTTTTATTCTTTTCCGTTCCCAGTGGAACCATAGGGCTTCAAGCTAGAGGTTTGAAGTTTCGGTAGCAGTGGTGTTTCTTTATACGGGATAAGGTTGCTAGCCTCATACCCAACCTTCCCTCCTTACCACTCTTAGTGAGGTAAAGGAGTGCGTCTGCTAGGGATCAAAAACCGGACCACATGCGTGATCGGCGAGCATTCCACCGCTGAGCCACCTACGCACAGGTAGTACAGTTGTTTTGTCCTAGTTTGTGACTGGCTCCACAACAGTAAGCACCCATGACTCCACTGACACAGATTGAAACGAGGATCCCCAAGTTCCATTGTGAGCTCGCTGACCATTCAGCAAACGTTAGGACAAGATCCAATAACTAGCTAGTGAATTTCAGCTTCTGCTGATTCACAAGATGCATACAGCCACCCACCAATACAAGCCAATTTCATCGATGAGTATTTGTCTAGACGCCCCGCTCTACTTGGTGAACGCCACTGGTCACAACTCAGACTAGAGCATTTCAGGCATTTCATCCTGTAATCAGGTAGTCAGTCAGTATATTGACCATTATATTCATTTCTAAGTGTTGGCCTAAAGCAGAGTATATTTGATTGGTTTCAAGTCTGACATCAGCTAATCAACCACCACCAAGAAGGTGTGAGGACATTGGCTGACGGTGGTAGTGCCAAATATCGCGAACTGACAGAAGTTGAAATTCATGGACTGGCGGCCGTTGGATTCTGTGTGAGTGGCGGAATATCGATTCGTGTTCTAACTTGAACAGCAACAACAACCGGATCTTCAACATTAATATCGAGTCAGTGCTTTCATATAGTTTGGGGGAACTGAGGGGGACTTCTTTCAAGGCATTGCCAATAAGTAACTGCATACTTTCATCAGCAAAAACAGCTGTCTCCATCGCTCCATATAGAAAATCAGATGGCCGACCAGAAAGAATTAGCAACAAGGAATTTTGGTCAGCAACGAACCAACCAACAAATAAACAAAAGGGAATGGAGATGGGTGGATTGGATATATGCACTGAGGAGACCATTGAGTGACACTGTCTGTCTGTCTGTTTTCGACATAGAACTTTGCACAAATGTGCGGAAGTTCAAGTCGCCACATTCCGTGTAGCACGCGAAGCAAGAGAAGAAAGTACAAGAAAAGCATAATAGAAACAGTGAGCAGAGGTGTGAGACAAAGGAGTAATAAAGAAATACAAAACAGTTTCATTGAAGATCATAAGTCACAGGGAGTGGATGCATCTGCGCCACTGAGAACGGTTTTGAGCCATGTCACCAATTGTTTCCAACCATAGATTTTTACCGTCCCGAGGACCCCAGCCTGGAAGTCTACACCTTTCTACGTGGATTACATTGACTGGTGGGCCAAGTTTTTGTTTGACCGCCGCTAGCTTTTTTCCAGCCTGACCCTATATCCGCTAACATAGCTCGTCGAGGGAGGCGATGGCTTGGCATACGTAACACATGTCCTAACCATCTCAGTCTTTGTAGCTTCACGACTTCGTCGATTGATTTCCCCTGTTTACCTAGAACTCTACGCCTAACCTCCATGTTGCTCACCTTATTATGCCACTTTACACGGGAAATAGAACGCAGGCACCTATGATCAAAGACAGCTAGTCTTTTCATGTCTTCCACTCTCAGTGGCCAGGTCTCACAACCATAAAGGAGGACGGAGCGGACTGATGAGCAGTACACCCGCCCTTTGGTCGATAGTCGAACATCTCGTCTACGCCAGAGTCGGCGTAAACTAACAAATGCGAAACGAGCCCCTTGTATTCGTGCTGAGATTTCGTCAGAGATCAGCCCGTTGGGGCTGATGGTACTTCCCAAATAAGTGAAGCGGTCAACGTGCTCTACCACTTCACTTCCTATTTTTAAACTAGGCGTCGATGTAGTCCAGTCCTGTAACATCATCTTGCATTTGGCGGGAGCGAATCGCATGCCAAACATTCGTAGATTGCGGCTCAAGGTGTTTAGAAGACTCTGCATTTCGTCAGCGTCTTCGCCTAGAAGGACTATATCGTCTGCATATTCCAAGTCAACGAGATTATTCCCCGGTAGCAAGTCAATTCCTGAGTCGCTGAAGTCACCTAGGGTTAAGTCCATTAACACATCTATGATGAAGTTGAATAGAAAAGGAGATAATGGGCATCCTTGACGGACACCACTGGTCGTCATCAGTTCAGATGACAGCTCGCCGTAAGCCCTCACCTGGCTGTATGAGTACGAGTAGAGTGCCTTAATCAGTGCAATATATTTTCTTGGAATTCCCTTTACAGCCAAGCATCTCCAGAGAACTTCCCGATCGACAGAGTCGAATGCTGCCTTTAGGTCAAGAAATATAATGACTGTTGGACGCCGGTAGGAATGCCTATGTTCTAGAATCTGTCGGAGGGTGAAGATATGATCAATACACCCTCTTCCTGGTCTAAAGCCTGCCTGGCTCTCTCGTGTTTGTGCTTCCCGAGCACCACTCAGTCTACGCATGATTATTGAGCCTAAGACTTTAGATACTATATTAGTCAAGCTAATCCCTCTGTGATTATCACAGGAAGACTTGTCTCCCTTCTTGTATATGGGGATAATCAGTGACTTACACCAACCCGATGGGACTTCTTCTGATTCCCAGACGCTGCCTAGTACCTCAGTTAATCCGGACAGTAAGCTGTCTCCACCGTACTTAAATACCTCTGGAGTCATTCCATCAGGTCCCGCTGCTTTGCCTAGTTTCAGATTGGTGACAGCTTTAGTAACCTCAGTTAGTGACGGAGGACCTGTGTTTATATCCCATTCAGGGAGGTGTTGGATGCTCGGAAGGTTGAGCGTGGCTGTGGGCAAATTAAACTGCTCCTCATAATGCTCTTTCCAACGATCCAGTCGTCTATCCTGGGAGCTAATTATAGTGCCATTTTTTTCCGAGATTGTCTCACTAATGATTTGTCTTCTCCCACCCGTTTCCCTGATGAGTCCAAAGAGTTGCCTGGTGTTGCCTATCCTCAAAGCTTTCTCCATCTCTTTTGAGTGACACTACGCGCCGAGAACTCGAGTGGAGAGTGAGTGACAAGTTGGAAACGCAAATCCAAGAGTGGCATGGATGGAATGATGTTGTTGGGGGTAATTGAAAGTTTATGGGCAGTCGTACAGCTGGAGGCAGATGACTGTAGAGAAAAGGATGAAACAGAGATATGCCAAGACTGAAGGCCTATGCTTCCTACTAAAAAAGAAAGGTAATAATAATGGTGGTGGATAATACTTACCATGGGCACCATAAGCACTAGCTATAACAGCTAAAGCACCAGACAATCCTGCTAGCCGCACAATCATTGATCCTGCACAGATCGACGGTGTTGGGGGTGGAGGTTGAATTTTAGGCAAAGGATTTGACGAACTCGTGAGAAGACGTTTTACGTTACTACCCACAAAGTTTAAACTTTCGTTGATATAAGGTATGTATACCATCTGGAAACAAAAATAATAACATTAATAACAAAGTATGAAATTTATTTAAATATTATGCTACAAGTTGTTATTCTATTCATGTGATTTCCTGTTTATATATATATATATATATATATATATATATATATATATATATATATATATATATAGATATATATATATATATCATTTGTACGTCTGACCATATTGATCAGATACGGTTTCAGAATATCCATCTCATGACCCCTATCATTGAGACCCCTGGTAACAGCACTACTGAGAAAGTGCTTCTTCTTTTGAGATGTAGGCTTTTTATGGTACATGTTCGGAAAATCGACGGTGCACCCTGTACTCTGTTCTCTCAATGTAACTAACTGCTAACGCAGACAGGTGTAAGTTTGTAGACAATCAGAGCTAAAGCAGAAGGATAACTTTCGACTTTTGATATACCACCTTCCGTGACAAGTACTTTTGTAACAACACAAGACAAGGGCCAGGCAACAGATCGTTTATTTAGGAAATCAACACATATTTATAGATTTTCATGTACATTATTATAGATTATTTAAAGCATACAAACACCATCTTCTCATTGGTTGTTTCTCACTGAAAGTCAGGAAAGGACTAGCTTAGTCAGACGAACAGATGGTATCAATCGATGAATTCTTTGACAGTTGATTTGAGATAGCCACTAAGGGTAGTGTGGACTGCCTGGATGCTTGAGATCCTCTGAATTTTAAGAACCAATGGCTTGAGACAGTTACTGACATGAATTAGAACTATCCTTAATGGCTCACATGCATTGCTAGTCTCCCATATTCACTAAACCATAATGTTTTTCCATGTTACTATTCTTTATCAAGCATATTTCTGCTCATTAAGGTTTTTTTCAAACGTTTGTTTCTCTTTTTTGTCCACCTTTGTGTGTTACACGGTATACGGCAAATTGAACTACTGCACTTCGGTGTAAAGTTCCGTAGTGAAGTCCTCTCATTGGCTGATTGCATTAATTAGCTTCCGTTTGAACGCTTTGACGTTTGAAGTGATTGGTACTGGAGTTCGAGTTGCATTAAGGAGACAGTACATCTGCAGTGACTGAGTTTCAACACACAACTCCTGTGCACAGAAATGCAGCAGCACAGGTTGCCATACTCCATGTAGCACAGGAAAACATGTCCAAAATGACTATAATAAGGAAAAATGTGCGGGAGAAAGAATAACTACACAGAAAACACGAGGATTAAAGAGATCTTAGAGATTACACAGAGAGTCAATGCAACCTCACGACTGAGGACGATTTCGAGCCATATTACCAATAATCTCCACTCATCGGTTCTTACCATCCCGACGAAGTGCAAAATAGAGACGTTAAACAGAGATATCAGGCAAAAAGGATAGTAATGTCGAAAAACCATTTAGTTTTATTGGATAAGTCAAAAGCATTGAATGCATCTGCGCCATTGAGGACGATTTTGAGCCATATCACCCACCAACTATCTCCAGCCATTGGTTTTTATCGTCTCAATGACCTCAACCAGGAAGTCTACACCTTCCTATGTAAATTAAACTAACTATTGTACATTTCTTTGACTGATGAAGCCACGTTTTCGTTTGACCACCACTGGCTCTTTTCCAACTACATTGATCCTATATCACATAAGATTCCCTCCTATCGAGGATGGTGATGGCTAGGCATGCGTAACACATATCCTAACCATCTCAGTCGACGTAGCTTCACAGCCTCGTCAATCGATTTCCCCTCCTTACCTAGCACTCGAACGATGCCTAAACTCAATATTTCTCACCTTAGTATACCACTTCACACGGGAGATAGAAAGCAGGCACCTATTATCAAAGACAGCTAGCCGGGCATTTCATGTCCTCCACTGTCAATGGCCATGTCTCACTCACGGCCATAAAGGAGGACGGAGTGGACTGCTGAGCAATAAACACGCCCTTTCGTGGATAGCCAACCGCATATCACGTCTACTAAGCCAGAAATGGCGTAAACTGGCATACGCCAAACGAGCCTTCTGTACCCGTGCTGAGATTTCGTCAGCAATCAACCCGCTGGCACTGGCTGATGCAACTTCCCAAATAAGTGAAGTGTTCGACACGCTCTACAAGTTCACTCCGTGTTTCTAAGCTAGGAGTCAGTGTAGTCCATCCCATTCCTGTAGCCTCATCTTACATTTGACAAAGACAGTGAATCCCATGCCAAACATTCGTAGATTGCCACCCAAGGTGTTCAGAAGACTCTGCTGCCTTTTCTCAGCGTCTTCACCTGGAAGAACTATATCATCTGCTTATTCTATGTCAGAGAAACTATTGTTCGCTGATGGTAACAAGTCAGTCCCTGAAGTGAGTTAGGGTACATCTATGACAAAACTGAATAGAAATGGGGATACTGGGTATCCCTGACGAACACCAGTAGTTGCCACCAGTTCAGATGACAACTCGCTGCAAGCCCTCACCTGGTTGCATGAGTTCGAGTAGAGTGAGTACCTGGATCAGTGCAATGTATTTTCTCGACATTGCCTTCACAGCCAAACATCTCCAGAGCACCTCTCGGTTGACAGAATCGAATACTGCCTTTAGGTCAAGAAATATGACGACTGTTGGACACCGGTAAGTATGACTATGTTCCAGAATCTGTCAAAGGGTGAATATATGATCAATACACCCTCTTCCTGGTCTAAAGCCTGCCTGGCTCTCTCGTGTTTGTGCCTCTTGAGCACCACTTAGTCTACGCATTATTATTGAGCCTAGAACTTTAGATACCACATTAGTCAAGCTAATCCCTCTGTGATTATCACAGGAAGACTTGTCTCCCTTCTTGTATATGGAGATAATCAATGACTTACATCAACCCGACGGGACTTCCTCTGATTCACAGACTCTGTCGAATACCTTAGTTAACGCAGATAGTAAGCTGTCTTCGCCATCACTAAACACCTCTAGAGTCATTCCATCAGATCCTGCTGCTTACCCTCGTTTCAGATTAGTGACACCTTTAGTGGCCTCAGTTAGGGACAGAGAACCTGTTTCTATATCCCATTCAGGGAAGTGGTGGATGTTCGGTAAGTTGAGTGTGGCTGCAGGCCAATTAAACTGCTCCTCAAAGTGTTCTTTCCAGCGTTTCAGTCGTCTATTCATCCGGACGACTCAAACGAGGTTGCCAGTCACCAGCTTTCTACATGACTGGCTCAAACGAGCAGTCAGAGATTTCTTCGATTTACTGATTTTGATTTTATTACCGCGCCCCCTCCTAGATGACCTGGTAGAGACAAAGGTTGGCAGACTTCGGTTTTCCTCTCGAAATCCTCACATGTGAACTCTGCCGGATAAGTGAGGAGGGGTATTACTCACAAAAAGTAGAAGGGTAAATGCGAACATCTGGCTCCTACAACTGGATTTGTGTACGTGCTAGTCTACCAAGAGGGACTGGAAAATCCTTACTACCAACCTATGACTTCCCCGGGTTCCAGACTGCACCATAGAGAGTGATTTTTAGCCATATCACCAATAGTTTCCAGCCATCCCCAATCAGCCAGTTCTCCCTAAGTGATTGACTCAAACCAACAGTTAAAGACGTAATGGATTCATTCCATCTTTTGATCTAACCACTTCCAATTTTCCATATTAATTTGTTTATTAGATATATCACGCAGTGAAACAGTATCATTTATCCAGTAAGCATTATCCAGTTGTGGAATGTAATAAATAGGATGTCTATATCAATAAAAGGATAAATAGTTGATCTTGACGGCAATCAATAAGTCTTTGTTAAGACAAAAATCGGAAAATATGCTCTGGCTTCGTGCATTTTGTGAGTCGGTGGCACAGTGGTGAGGACTATCGCCGACCATACACATGGTCTGAGGTTCGATCCCCTACCGACGCACACCTGATATCTATGGTCGGCCTGCGGAATTTGGGCTACCGATATCCACGCTGAAAATCCCATACTTGTACCAAAAATACGGTGTGGAATCAAACTGTAATAAAAAAAATTAGTAAAAACACGTTTGTTGGTTAATTAAAATTGATTTCAGTCTCTAACTGGATCCGGGAAACACACTGTGTGGACAAAGGTTGATAACACCACCCTGATGATCCAAGGATTCAAACCCGAAGTCTACTGGTCGAAAGTCAAGTAAACCGATAAGTCACATAACCCAGACACTAGGTCGGGTCGGGCAAGAGGTCATCTAAGACGCCAGACTCAAGGAAGGAATCAAACTAACAAGCAATTTATACCACGAAAACTGAAATTCCCCTAGTGAAATGACTCTGGAAACTAACAACATGAAGTACTAAATTTTAGCAGTGTGAGAACCACATTATCTGACTGCTAGCAAATTCATTCCCAGATAAACCAGTTCAAACTAATGACCATGATCATCTTATGCCTTATTTTCAATAGAGAGTCTGATAAAATACTAAATTCAAGTATAACTTAAAATTAAATCAAATTGTTGTATGAGGTCATAGACAAGATATTTATCTTAAAACAATTTTATTCACAAGATTCTATCTATGGGATGAGAATTTGTGACGCTACACACTCAACACTGATAAAAGTTTACAACCAAAGGTTCAAGCTCGAGTATCACAGGTAATGTAAACCAACATGAAAATGTGGTCCGTTGGCTTAAGCAGGTGGATTTTAGTCAATGCGTCCCGAGTTTGAGTTCCACTTCACTTACTTCAGCCTACGTAACCGAGTATTACCATCAGTCATTGGGCAATATGAATGTTCAATCCTCCATGTTATATGGTATAACAAAGTAAATAATGTTTTAGAGGAGAGGTGACTTCATTTTATCATACCGTATATTTAAGGGCGGATTGATTGTTGTCCTCTCTAACCTTCCTCCTCCTAGGATGAGGTCGTCAAACAGCGGTGATAAAATATGAATGTAATTCAAATTTTCCTATATGGTGGTTAACGACTGGAACTCCTTACCTGCAATCAAGTCATATCAGCTTCATCAATGAATGTCTGACCGGTCATATCC